GCTCCTTGTGTGCTCCGGATGGCAGTCGTGAGTCAGTCAAGTGTCAAGTTCGGCAAGACTCGGCGTGTGTTCCTCGTTGGAACAACCAACTTCAAATCCAAAACAGGTACAGAAAAAGAAGACAAAAGCTAGGGTGCCGATAATCGGATACCACCCGGGCACAGATGCCCACCCAACCGCTTCGGTCAGCAGCAAGGGCACGGAATACCTCCAGATCAACTTTGCTTGACAAGGAAAGTCCCATCCGCTTGGCATCATCTCGTAGTAGCATTGGCAGCGTATGTCTTGGTCGTCCCCTCCAGCCTGCTAGACGAGGCTCTGCGAAGTACGCTCCTATGGCCAGTGATGGTGGGGAGTCAGCCGGGAGCCGGAGGACGTGCCCAAAGAGCTTCCACCTAGCTCTTAAGATGATCATACCGAGAGGAACCGCGCCGGTATGCTCATAGAGCCTCTCGTTCCTCATCCGATTCGGGAAAACAATGCTGATTAGCGCCCGCAGCTGTTTTCGGTGGAAGGCCTCAACACGGCTCAGCTGCTGCTTTGTTGGTGTCCATGTTGCACAATTGTAGCAGATCACAGGGATCACACAAAGGCATTATAAAGCCGGATGCGGAGATCCTCCAAAACTAGCGACCTACGTATCCACAGCGTCCAGAGTTTACCAATTGCAACAGTTGCCAGTTGCTGTAGTCGTAGCCTATCCTCGGCATCACCTAATACTTAATAGGGACCCGAGTTTCTTGGTGGTTCGCCACTCCTCCTCGATGCGATCAGTGTGCCGCTTGATGTGTGTGTGCTCTGTTTTTGTCTCATTTACTTTCAAATCCGGCCCATTCGAGGATCTTGTTGGATATGGCTGGAAGGAGGGTCCTCAGCCTCCCACCAGTAGTCACCAAATCCACATCGTCGGCGTAGGCAGTTTCAGTTGGTAATCCCGGGGAGACATCACCAGAAGGACGTGGTAGAAGAAGAGGCCGACGAACATCACGCAGCGCACCCTCAAGCAAGGTACACAATGAAAAGAACAGGAGACAACAAGTCACCTTGGGGTGTGCTGCGAAGAGTGGGAAATGACGGGCCCTTAGCGGATGGGAGTACAACCCGCATTACGGTATCCTGGAGGAGGTAACTGATCATTCGGATCTCATCCGGCTGCAAGAACGATCCCAGCCCCGAGATGAGCCGTGGCCTGCTTATACAGTCAAACGCTGTTGACATATCAATGCCTAGGGTATCCTGCGCACAGCGATAGCGTTGGCATCGAGCCGCCAACCATCGATACGACCAGACGACGTCTGTGGTGCTTCTGCTGGGGCGGAAACCACTCTGTGTGTGGGCAACGAAATTGTTGACATCCTTGTTGATCCTCTGCAGCACAATCAATGATAGAAACTTCCTGAGCACTGTCAGTAAAACCACGAGCCGTAGGTGAGCAACTGGTCCCCTTGATTTGCCAGGCTTTTGTAGCGGAATAAGCGACCCGCTACCGATGCTGTTCAGGGGTAGGCCTGTCTCGACGGCAGAGTGGAGGACCTGGGTGATATTGGAGTGGACGAGGGCAGGTGAGTACTTTAGCAGCTCCCCTAGCATGTTATCTGGGCCACTTGACCTTCCATTATTCAACTTTCCAGCTGCTTGTGTCACCTCTGCCTCAGAAATGGGCCGCTCAAGCCGATGGTGCTGAATAGCGCAATCCCGGTCGGTAGGGCCCGGCGGCTGCAAGGCCAGTCAGTACACCAGGCTCTGGCGTGTACAGCTTAGAAAAGTGGTGGGTGATTTGGATGGCTACTGAGTCTGGCTGTATTATTTGTCTACCCGTTTCATCATGCACAGTGATAGGCTGTTGTGTTTGTCGCCGGAGTAGATGGACTACATGAAACATCTGTGCCGTATTTCTCTTTGTTTCTACTTCCCTTGCCAGAGCGTCCAGCTCATTCCATGCTAGTTCCTTTGCTCGCAGCCGGATTCGGTGTGAGAGGGTGTTCCGCCGATGCTTCAGATCATTAACTTGTTGTGGAGCCCAATTGGCAGTTATCAGCAGTCGCAACTGTTTTTCTCTTCCGACCAGGAATGTAGCTGATCATCCATGAAACGCTGTTGCTTCCTTGGGGGCTACGCCAGTCCAACGGTATTCTTTGCTGTTTGCTGGATGAAACGGATGAGATCAATGTCCAGTGTGCTTCCGGTGTGGATGTGCCACTGTGGTGTGGATGTGTCTACTGCGCCGTTGGCGATCTGATGGGGGAGTTGGGATTGGACGTTTTGCGGGCAGGTATGCTTGCTCCATCTATAGTCTAGACCTGAAACTTCTGCGCTTTCGCGGTTCTTTTTTGGTTGTTGTTATGTGCTCACAGACCATAGATCCTGCTCGGAGGGGCGCGTGCGAGAATCAGCCGATGGTCTGATTTCACAGCATAGGATCGGGCATCTGTGAAAATCTGCTTCTGGTTGCTGCCACACAATATGCTACTATCTGATTACTAGTATATAATTATGGGAATAGAACAACCGCCGTTTGGGTTGTGCCTCCAGCCCGTCCAGGTTGTCAGATGCCTAGCTGGAAGTCGAAAGGCAGTGTTACATGCAAAGAGACCAAACGACTCGCAGAAATCCGCTAGCATAGCTCCGCTGCAGCTACGACGTCCACGACCATATCGTCCGGTGCACGAGCCGCTGGAGTCATCTCTCTGGCCGAGTTTGGCATTGAAGTCGCCAGCCACGAGAAGGAGGGAACTAGTATTAGTGACGGAACCGGGGCCAGGAAATCTCCGAGCGCTGAGTAGAACTCGTCGAGGTGGATATCATCTTGTTTGCACATAAACGTTGACGAGGGATAAAGTACTTCTAGTTCTCTTGGAAACATTTATTTGGATCGCGGCCACTCGGTCTGATACTGACCATACCCGATGAACACGCTCAAACAGGCTGTTGTGAATAGCGAACCCAAGCCCATAATGCCTGTTCGCCGTTGGTAAGCAGAATATCCTGTAGTCACCAGCTGTAGCTCGTCGCAACAGTCCTTTATTTTAGTCAAACTGCAAATTTAAATTTTGCATTTCCGAAGGTTATCAGCTGCCGCAGTGATTCTTTAGGCTTTACGACAAGCCGTGGACATTGAATGAACCTACACCAAAGTCTTGTTCGATACTACTGTCATTACGTTGAGACGCAAACGTTCAAAGTGAAGAAGACATTGAGCTCCGAGAGGAGCCTGAGGAACATCACCTCCTCATTCCGTAGCCACAAAGCCACAAAGGGTAGTACAAAAGTGTGGGCGCCATTTTGGGACTCGAGCCTGCCACCATGCCAGAATCGTGTACATAATTATGTACATGTCCATGCGATCAAGCAGATATCTCTGAATAGAAAGCTTGAAAGTGGGGTGCATTCCTCTTATCTGTACCAAAATTTCCAAATACCAATGCTAATGCCTTATACCTAGGCCTTTCACACTCTAGGAACAAACTCTCAATAAGGATTTGTTACTTTCCCATGTCTCATCCCGGGCCAAGACGAAGTGAATACAGTTGTAGCCTGTCCTACTGGCCGAAGATTTACCCCCCCCCCCCCCACAACATAAAACCATACTGTTTCCTTGGGTCGGGTATGTGCGTTGCAACGTTGCAGCATGCAAGCGTTGCAGCAAGAGTATACCGGTACATACAGTACGAGTATTAGATAAACCTTGTTTTGTTGGAACATGTTGTTGGTTGACAGCAACCAACAACAACATATTTATAATAATAATAATAATTATTATTATTATTATTATTCGCAGTTTTTCCTGTTATTACCTTAGTGCTAGGATTATCATTTTCATAGGTGTTGTTTCTTCTCACTCCATTTCTCTTTATTAGTATCTTTCTGGATTGTTTTTCATTATTATTATTATTATTATTATTATTATTATTATTATTATTATTATACTTCGAAGTAGTATATACGAATGTAACTCCCATGGAGGTTACAGCTTGTTTTCCCAGGGCAGCTACATGTATGGGGAATTCATAAGTGTTGTATACAACACTTTTAGTTACAAAATGCTTAGCCTAATAGGTGACATGTACTTGTTCATTGTTATTACCTGACGATGGACAAGTGCCGAAACGTTGTAAAAATAACGCAACTGGTTCGGATGTGCAGCGCGATGGGAATGGGTGTGTCCACCCGAATTCCTTTCAGAAATGAAGCTGCAGGAAGCCTCAGCCCTTCTTCAAACTACATTATGTATGTACTTGTGCTACCCTTTATTACAGTGGGGATCATTGGCTGCCCCAGCCATGTACATGTACATGTATCGCTTGGAATTATAAAACTAAACTAGGACGTTGCAGACCTACTCTTTCCCGACCAATCCGCTCGTTTTCATGATACGGTCAATTCTGCTCTACAGTAACATCACACCCTTGCCTAGCTAGCTGTGCATGAAGCTGCGGGAAGCCCCTTCCCACTTTTACTTCGATCATGACTGAGTGCAGTAGTCATGCACATGTAGTCTGAAAACTAAGTGGTTACTTGACCGCTCACGGCTCAGATCAGTGCCATCGATGCATCGGCCGGATCCGACTGGAGGTACAGTACTCAGCATTATGCAGAAGTAAACGTGTAAGAAGGGAGGCGATTGATGCAGTGAGTTACTTCAGGACTCACGAGTCGAGGTGGATCCACTTGCACACCGCATACATCACCACTCCATGTGCGACTGTCCGATTGTCCCTCGCGAGTCGCGAGTATAAAGTTAGTAAGCTCGATCAAGGGCCCGACCCTGCTACATGTTCATGATACGTAAGTCACTTTTGCTGTTTTGACCGTGATATGAAACAAGACTCAAGAGCAAGCCATAGAATATAAGGTAGCCTACAAAACATAAGTGCAATAAACGATTGTGACAAGCTGCTTGAAGCAGTTTCTGTTGGCAAGTGTTTCCTGAACTGGCTCAGTGAAGATGGAATATCAGCAGTGCCACGCGGAAAGCGATGACACGCAGATCTACATACTACATGTACTCCCTGTGCTGGTGTGCAGTCACGAGTGCTTCGGTGCTGACAATGACAGTCACACTGCAGTGGCTATGTGCACTGTCTGTCGTTGGAAGTACTCAGTAAACAAACTAAACATCCGCAAGTCGCCAAGGCGAAGGGAAGCTTCCTCACTCCTTAGTTCTTTTTCCTGATGTACTAGTGTTCTTTTCAGTTATTAATTCTCTTTGCGCCTTGGACAGGTAGGTCGGCGTGTCGAGCTACCCTGGCCCTTGAACAACCACCTGAATGAAAGGGAGTTAATCTGCTCAGTCTGCTGTCCAGCTCTGTGAAGCGCTTCGGACGACGCGACATTCATTCAACTGGGAGAAGTCACCATTGCGGAATTCCGGAACGCTGCAGCAGCCAATGTCCTGGGCGGTAGCACTCCATGGTGGGGCGGGGGACCTTAGCAGAAGTTTGGACGGCAAACCGTATCGCGATGCCCTGGACGCGTGTCTGCAACGAGGTGTAGAGGTGGTGTGTGGCAGGCAAGCGCCATCCTTTGCGCCTTACAGCCACCTCAACATGGCCACGCAAGCAGCCATCGAGACGGTCGTGGCTCTTGAAGACTGTGACCTGTTCAATGCTGGTCGTGGCGCTGTGCTCAATTCAGACGGGCAGGTTGAAATGGAGGCGCAGCTGATGAACAGCGATGGCGAATCCGGAGCCTGTGCAGGGCTGACGTGTGTGAGAAACCCTGTACTAGCTGCAGAGCGAGTCATGACAAAGACGTCACATGCCTTTCTGGCAGGCCCATCAGCTGAGGACTTTGCCGTCCGCGAAGGACTGCACACCGAACCTCGGGATTATTTCACAACGGCGATGCGGCGCAAGCAGTTAGAAATTGCACAGCACAACGGCAGCAAGTCCGCCGTTCTGGATCACAATATTGATACGGAGAATGGCAAGGCTGAACCAGTTCAGCGTGAGAGCGGCCATGGCGGTAGTCATGACGACGGTGCGCTAGGTACAGTCGGAGCAGTGGTCAAAGACACTGACGGCAATATTGCCATCGCTGTGTCCACTGGAGGTATGACCAACAAGATGCCTGGCCGAGTCGGTGATTCGCCCATTGTGGGAGCCGGGGGCTTTGCATCCCAGCAAGCCGGGGTGTGCGCAACCGGTAAAGGTGAAACGTTCTTCAGGCACTCGACGTGTGCGCACATCTGCGCAGCTATGGAGTATGGAGAGCTTACATTACAACAGGCATGTGAAGCTGAACTTGGCAAACTGCAAACAGGTGATGGCGGTGTGATAGGAGTGGACAGTAACGGCAAGGTGGTGTTCCACTTCGTCTCAAGGGGAATGCTCCGCGCGATGGAGGAGTCATCTGGCCGCAGAGGTATAGGAGTCTGGGGAGAGTGGGTAGAAAAGAACTTCTAGCTAAAGAGTCAGTATGTACTATATGCAGCAAACACTTGGCTGAATTCCGGGCCGGCCTCCATGCGGATAGCTTAGAGAAATCGGAATTCAACGTTTCCAGAAAGACGGAATCAGTGGAAACGTGGTGTGCGTTCTCTTCATCGTGCCAACGCTATCACTTCAATGCCATTATATTGATATCCCTTCTATGAATACTATAATCTATCTGTATCTTTTTCTTTTTAACAATGTAAGATATCTACAGTTGCAAAGAGAATACAAGAGAGTGCTCACCATCTCATTTACCTACCTACCTACCTACCTACCTACCTACTTACCTACCTACCTACCTACCTACTTCGAGTACCTACCTACTACTAGTGTCATGCTAAAGGAGCTATGTCAACATCTGTTCAATTATCTAAAAAAGAAAGTCACTCTGGCGCACATCCTTTAGAATTACTGGTACGCGTACCGTGACGCCGGAGTGCTACTGAGTATGTGAAAGTAAGTCACTAGTTAAGTTTAGTTTTAGTTTAGTTTTGTGAAGGAGAGGTTGGTGCGACTTCGGCGATACTTGGGGAATTCTGTGTTGCTCCCTACGTGGGAGCTGGCGCTATTCCTGCCGACTTGAATCTCAATTGACTGACTCACGACTGCCATCCAGAACACACGAGAAGTCCATGGAACCTTCCACTCGGCAAACCTGCAAGAAAGCACCACTCCCTGATCAATACACAGTGTTTCGGGGAATTCACCCCTCATCAGTTGAGCTTGAGTAGGCTGAGGAAGATTTTGCCTGAAGAGCACCACTTATATAGTGCTCTCCAGGCACAAACATCATCAGGGATACAAACTTACAGAGATGCTCCGTTTCCAGCGCGACAAACACCTCGTGAACACCAGATAGCAGCGTGTCGCTCATGGAGGTGCTGAACAAACGTTGAGGACCGTTGGCCATTCACAACGTTGTTGCCTCCAAACTATGTAATTCGCAAGCCCGTGCCGGGGACAACAATTAGTTTAGTTTTATAACGTTTATTCCAAGCAATACATGTACATACATGTACATGGGGTAGCCAATGACCACGTTGCGTGGTGATTGCAGGGTTTATAGCCAACCACAGCTAGCAAGCCAGGAAAGAGTAAGAAGTCCGAAAAGAACAGGAAAAGAAAAAGAAGCAGCCACTGCGAATAGCCATTGCAATGCAGAAGAGTGGGCTAGAGGAAGGGAGAGTTGGTTCCTGGTGGAGCTATCCTGTCGAAACCAGTCAAATTCAAGTGTTTAAAATGCGGGGTATTTTTAAAGTCGAATACGATGGATACGACAGTACATCAGGATTCGTCGTCTTTCCAGGAGAGGTCTGGTCGAGAATAACATACATTGTATAGAGAGCCACACTAGAAAGGGACTTGGGCATAATTATGATAAAGAATCTTAGGTATCAAGGGATCGATTGTGAATTTCCAGACTACTAGTAATTACCACATACCGTGAAACGGCATAGCGCACCTCCTCGCCATGGGACATAGATAATTATCTGTACTGCGGGCGCCTGGGCGATGCATGGCTGGCGGTATCCGGCATAGCAGGCTGGTACATCAAGTAGCGCATGGCACATAGATGATGACACAGCAACGACATAGCTCGATTGCGACGTACGTTTCGTCCCCGCTGGACTCATCAGGCAATATTCTTCTTGGATGTCTTCATACGGAGCTTGACTCGTGAGAATGAAGTCGAAGACACCACTGCAGCTGTACTTATGGTTGATAAATATGGTGGCGAAGACACACCTGGCAATATGGCGGTAAACACACGCCTGCCCACACACGCTCTCTAGGCTGCAAAGTTCTGGCACAGAGCTCTCCTTCTCACCACCGCCACCATCAGTTCGCGCCTGGCGCCTGGGCGATGCATGGCTGGCGGTATCCGGCATAGCAGCGGCATATCCGGCATGGCGGTATCCGGCATAGCATAACTGATGGTGGTGGTGGTGAGAAGGAGAGCTCTGTGCCAGAACTTTGCAGCCTAGAGAGCGTGTGTGGGCAGGCGTGTGTTTACCGCCATATTGCCAGGTGTGTCTTCGCCACCATATTTATCAACCATAAGTACAGCTGCAGTGGTGTCTTCGACTTCATTCTCACGAGTCAAGCTCCGTATGAAGACATCCAAGAAGAAGATTGCCTGATGAGTCCAGCGGGGACGAAACGTACGTCGCAATCGAGCTATGTCGTTGCTGTGTCATCATCTATGTGCCATGCGCTACTTGATGTACCAGCCTGCTATGCCGGATACCGCCAGCCATGCATCGCCCAGGCGCCCGCAGGCGCGAACTGATGGTGGTGGTGGTGAGAAGGAGAGCTCTGTGACAGAACTTTGCAGCCTAGAGAGCGTGTGTGGGCAGGCGTGTGTTTACCGCCATATTGCCAGGTGTGTCTTCGCCACCATATTTATCAACCATAAGTACAGCTGCAGTGGTGTCTTCGACTTAATTCTCACGAGTCAAGCTCCGTATGAAGACATCCAAGAAGAAGATTGCCTGATGAGTCCAGCGGGGACGAAACGTACGTCGCAATCGAGCTATGTCGTTGCTGTGTCATCATCTATGTGCCATGCGCTACCTGATGTACCAGCCTGCTATGCCGGATACCGCCAGCCATGCATCGCCCAGGCGCCCGCAGGCGCGAACTGATGGTGGTGGTGGTGAGAAGGAGAGCTCTGTGCCAGAACTTTGCAGCCTAGAGAGCGTGTGTGGGCAGGCGTGTGTTTACCGCCATATTGCCAGGTGTGTCTTCGCCACCATATTTATCAACCATAAGTACAGCTGCAGTGGTGTCTTCGACTTCATTCTCACGAGTCAAGCTCCGTATGAAGACATCCAAGAAGAAGATTTCCTGATGAGTCCAGCGGGGACGAAACGTACGTCGCAATCGAGCTATGTCGTTGCTGTGTCATCATCTATGTGCCATGCGCTACTTGATGTACCAGCCTGCTATGCCGGATACCGCCAGCCATGCATCGCCCAGGCGCCCGCAGGCGCGAACTGATGGTGGTGGTGGTGAGAAGGAGAGCTCTGTGCCAGAACTTTGCAGCCTAGAGAGCGTGTGTGGGCAGGCGTGTGTTTACCGCCATATTGCCAGGTGTGTCTTCGCCACCATATTTATCAACCATAAGTACAGCTGCAGTGGTGTCTTCGACTTCATTCTCACGAGTCAAGCTCCGTATGAAGACATCCAAGAAGAAGATTGCCTGATGAGTCCAGCGGGGACGAAACGTACGTCGCAATCGAGCTATGTCGTTGCTGTGTCATCATCTATGTGCCATGCGCTACTTGATGTACCAGCCTGCTATGCCGGATACCGCCAGCCATGCATCGCCCAGGCGCCCGCAGGCGCGAACTGATGGTGGTGGTGGTGAGAAGGAGAGCTCTGTGACAGAACTTTGCAGCCTAGAGAGCGTGTGTGGGCAGGCGTGTGTTTACCGCCATATTGCCAGGTGTGTCTTCGCCACCATATTTATCAACCATAAGTACAGCTGCAGTGGTGTCTTCGACTTCATTCTCAGGAATTGTTCCTGTACATTGTATATCCGAGGGCAAGGGTCTGGAAAAGGATGCCCAGGCCAGGGTCTGGAAAGGTGCTTTATATCCAAGCCAAAAAGAAAGGTCACGATATTATACCCAGGGTACTATACTGAAGTAACTCTTAGTTTCACTGGTCATGTAACGCAGAGTTAAAACACTTTCTCTGTCTTACGTACACGTCTTCTTGCCATTTTGGACACGCTACTAAAAGGCCCCATGCTGGCTGAACAACAGCATGGCACGACAGCAGCCGTGCGTGCGCACACACACATACACCCAGCTTCTGGGCCGGCTCGAGCGCTTGGCACTACATTCGTAGGGCAAAAAGCCACTCGCTCCAACATCGGTCACGGTGTACGCGAGTCATGGTGATTCGGAGGAGAACCATTTTTACCTCGCCGCTGGAAAGTAATGGTTGCATGGCTATGGACCAGTATGGGGAAGGAATTGCCAAAGATGATGGGCCAGTGCGAGAGGTTCACACACCTACACGTCACATTTCGTTCCTTAACCTTCTAGGAGCCGCCCCATTATGGCCATACATGTACTTCAATGAATACGAACTGCTGGAAGTTGAGGGAATGGCATTAAATATACCTTGTTTTGTTGAAAACATGTTGTTGGTTGACAGCATGTTACAAGGCGGAGGACCACTGTGTTGTTGTAGAAGTTTATTTAACGTCGCACCACAAAAAAATGTGTTCGGAAACAGTACCCCTTACTACAACTATCCACCGTTGGCAGAGCCCCGGTCTTGCCACCATTTGAACCGTATGGGTGTTAGCCCTGGTTCTGACCCTCCTTTTACTAGGGAGTTGTTTGAGTCTTCTTGTTTTTTTGTTTGTTATTGCACTGTCAGTCGGGTTGTCTTCGCTCGTTAATGGCAGCCTTGGCAGGGCTCTGCCAACCGTAGATGGTTGTGGTAAGGAGCACTGGCCGCTTGAAACACAGTGGTCCTCCGCCCTGTAACATGCTGTCAACCAACAAAGAAGGTAGCGTAGTCGTTAGTTGAAGGAAGTGTCTGCAAGCATGTGTCAAACCACAACAGCCTGTGGACAGCCAGGCCACAAAGGTCGAGAGCTGGAGAGCTCAGTAGTACCTACAGACCGGGTCAGCAGCAGCACTGAGCAGTGACGGTGTACATGCCGGTGTAGCAGCAGCAGCAGCTCTCTACAGTTGAAGAGCACAGGATGAGGTGTTCCCTCTTACTATACTACCCGTATTACAGGATTAGTCTTACTCTTACTTCTTAGTCTTACTCCAGTCTGTTCACTACTGCTTAGTGTTCACTCAATCAATTTCTTTGTGCCTGTACGAAAGTTTAGCAGCAGCAGCTCGGAGCAGTGACCGGGTAGACCTACATGTAGCCGGGCATTTGGAGGATCCATCTGATCAACCAAGGCTCAGATTGGCGACGGATAGGGAGGAACACTGAAGGGAGTTGGAGGGCAATCATTTTTGTCTTTCACTTCAGGTCACGCCGCAATGCTAATGACGATGTCAATGTCATGTCATTGACATTGTACTTTGTACTCATGTAGATCTACACGAGTAACGGTGGTGCATTGCCATGGCCGCGCCATTGCATATTTCAGTAGATTTTTGTAGATCTACGCACATTACGATACGCTTAGCATGCAATCACTCAGTCAGTGTCACGGTCACTTTCTCTCATGTATTCACGTCGCGTCGTAACATAGCCTGGAAGCCGAAGACTGGCGAAGGACTACATGTACATGAAAATAATGTCACTTGACATGTCTTCAGTCGCTCGCGCCTCGATCTTCACCACGTATTAGTACAATAGTAGATCTACCAGGCGGCCAGGCCAGGGAGTCGGACTCGATCATAAATCTCCGACTACGACTCGACTCCCTGCTCTTCATCCACGAAAATATCACGGTTTCCGTCGGAACGAGTGCCATTTTTGCCTATGCAGGCCAGCCGCAACTGTAGGCTTTTATTTTTCTGACTGTCTCCATTCTTTACTCTATGCAGATTACTTACCTCAATTTCAAATCAATGTATCAATCTTGACTACTACCACCGGTATTGCTAGGATATTATTCATTATCATCATTGGTTTGTGCGTTCAATAAAACACCTTTTCAGTAGGATTTAGTAGAATTTATCAAGCAAGACATAAGCTGCTATTGGCAAAATGTCTTGGACGTTGGCGCTTCACGGTGGTGCTGAAAACGTGAGTCTTGACGAAGATCGCAAGGAGTACAAAGATGCGTTAGCGGCCTGTCTGGATCGTGGTGCGAGTGTTCTCTCCGAGCGCTCGCCGCCCTCGTTCTCTCCCTATGCTCATCTGAACATAGCCACGCAGGCCGTCATTGAAACAGTCATGGCTCTGGAAGACTGTGATCTGTTCAATGCTGGTCACGGATCATTGTTCAATGAGGACGGCCTGTTTGAGATGGACGCCCAAGTTATGGATAACCGTGGCCACTGCGGTGCGTGTGTGGGACTGTCGAGAATCCGAAATCCTATCCTGGCGGCCGAGAAGATCATGAGCAACACCCCACACGCACTCGTTACAAGTCCATCGGCTGAGGAGTTCGCTATTAAGCATGGACTCAGGACAGAGACTCACCAGTATTTCCACACTGAGCGGCGATTCAAAGCATGGCAGGCAGTTCGCGAAGCCAAGAAAACGGCGTCGGGGCAGGACGGAGCAGATGTTAACGAGCACTGCCGTGGCACTGTCGGTGCCGTTGCTAAAGATAAGCAGGGCAATATCGCCTGTGCTGTTTCTACTGGAGGCACAATCGACAAGATGCGTGGCAGAGTTGGGGATTCCCCCATCATAGGCGGTGGCTGCTATGCTGGATCGAGCGCCGGGGTGTGTGGAACAGGCAAGGGTGAGGTGTTCCTCTACCACAACACATGCGGTCGTATCTGCGCGGCCATGGACTATGCGGGCTTGTCGCTGCAGGATGCGTGCGAGAGGGAGATGAGCGCGATGGCCGCTGGTTCCGGTGGCGTCATCGCCATTGACAGCGACGGTGGGTGTGTGATGCAGCACAGTACGCAAGCAATGCCGCGCGCCATGCAAGACTCGGCGGGCCGTCGGAAAATTGCCATCTGGAAGGAGTGGGAAGAAAACCAAGAAGTCTCGGAGTGAAATCGTGCACCGGGTGACTTAGATCACAATGATATTTGCCAACCACACATCCACGCACACGTACAGTTCCTGAACAAGCGTGTGCACGTGCGCTGAAAGCTCTCAAGGCTAACATTCCAACTTCAGTCTAGCATAGTGTTGGTTGAGAAATACACAGTGGGACTAATTCAGTGCCTCTTACACTACCTCCCCATATTATTATATAATAATTATTATATACCCTTGTCGTAATTGTACAATGTCGTGTACCTCATGTATTGGTGTTCGGCTTGTGATTCTGAGGCTTTGCTTCTTGACTGTTGTTGCTGTGAATGCTGAGCCTTAGCCCGTGATTCTGAGCAATGCTCCCCTCTCCACTCTGCGCACCAGTCCAGTCTTTCTGCACTGAAGTCTGAATCCAGGCAGACCGGCAAAGCAAACGCACAGATGCATAGCATAGCAGGTTACAATCATGTTAGAATACTATTTATTTGTACTAAGGTCACCAGCAGGCGCTGATCACTACTGGTTCAAGGTGGTAGGAGTGTATGGTGCATGACTGTATACTGTAAATATACAAATTTTCGGCAGCTATTTAATTTCGGCTATATTCGGCACCGACCCAAAACGCCTAAATTAAAACGCCGATGAAATTTTTCACAGCATCTGTCGCACTATACTAGCGCCTCTACCCCACGCCGAAAATAAATCGCCGCCGAAATGTCAAAATTCGTTAAGTGCCGAAATTTTGCAGCGCCGAAATTTTGTATATTTACAGTACCCGCCGGTCAGAGTCATGTGTGCAGCCCATGTGCAGGTGGAGCGAGTTCACTTCCTGCCCACATCAGGGCTAGGACCTTTTTAGTGCCAAAAATGACCGTTTCCGTGCAGCTGCCAGACTGGAGTACATGAGGCCCAGAACCGTGAGCCCAGATCAAATGAGGCATGATACGAGGCGCTATTCGATCGATTGTGCAGCCGTGGTTTCTCTTGTGCTTGCTCTGTAGGGGTTGTGCCGAACTAGGCCGGGCTTGCAGACAATGCTTCAGAGGTGGAGAAAGACATGATAATGAGCCAAGGACACTGAGTGACATTCAAACCGACCAGACCCGCAGGGGCCAGGGCCGGCTGTGGACCAGATGAGGGTGGATGGGCAGTGGAGGTCGAAGTGTGCCATACAGAGGTCGAAGTGTGCCATACAGACTCGTGACCTACCGATGTCCCATGCATCATGTGGGTGGTCGGTGAAGGCCAGCATCATGGGCCATCGCCAGCCTTCCAGGGTTTTATCCGATCGGATGATCAGACCAAGTAAAGTTCTGACTTCGATTTGACCTTCTGACCTGTTGTCAGTGTTAGTGTTATCGTTGTACTTGTACTTGTAGCCTTGTACTTGTTGTAGGCCGCGAAGTAGTTACAGCATGCTATGCCTATGGCTGGATTAGTTCTAACCAGTTACCTTCGACTTTGTGGTGGATCCCGTGATCATGGTCATCACAGGGATAGCAAAGGACATGATGATGGTAGCCAGGTCCCGTTTTCCGACAGCCATTCCTGAAATAATTCATTCATTTCATATTTGCACTCCCGAATCAACAATCGACCTTGTCCGGGGCCGTTTGAACGACTTCTGCTGCACAATCTGCCTGAGACTGAGCGAAGACGCTGCAAAGAGGAAGGCGATACTGTTCTCCGGCTGTGGTTCAAACCGCTGGACTGCGCTCTCCTTGCCGACATGGAGACTTGGGTGGCAGAGTTTGTGCTGCTGCTAATGGTGACCCTGGCGGTTACTTCTATCCTTGGTTCGCCGTTCAAGGAGCTAGGCTCGTTCAATGCTGAGAACCCGTCCTTCCTTTACCTTGGAAGAGAATACCACGCAGGTCAGACTGGACACAACTGGACGCTATTGGTTTCATCGTTCAGCGGCAATCCATTCGCTAAAGATGGCGTCTACATAGCGCGAAATATCCAACAGCTGCTGTTTTCGAGCACATCGCAAATCCAGCTGTCCGAAGTCAGCAACAGAGTCGTGTGGCCCAACGAGTTCCGCCTTGTGCCAGGTACAGTAGCACTCTTGTACTCAAGTCGGAGAATGTACCTGCAGCAGAAGTACATGTCGACCTTGTACTCATGCTTCGCTGAGTCGCCGAGCATGCAGAGACTGAATCTCATCCGCAGTGTCTGCCATTTCGGATAGCTGCTTAGCAAATCAAAGTGGGCCATGAGAATTACAGTGCTGGCAACTGAAATCCGACCCACTGAGCGGTGGGTTCACATAATTCTTTGCGATGTGAGCGCACCGCTCAGGGGGTCGGATTTCACTTGCCAGCACTGTATTATATCGATCCTCATTTGCCAGAGGTTGTGAGGATATCTGAATCTATGAGCATGTATGAGCGGTCTGATTGCATGCAATGCAGGGAAGTAACCTTGGCTTCGCACTGCTGATTGCGTTGCCGTTGATGTCCAAAAGGCGGCTCACTATTAAAGATTGGGTGCATGCCTTCGGGAAGTCATCACCAGCGGCCTGTGATAGAGATTAGTGTCAGATTACCACATGTAATAGATGAATCCACTGCCGGCATACTTTCCCATGTAATGATATGTGCTGCTGGAATTGCTGCTACTAGTGCACGATAGCTTAGTGGCAGAGCACCGTTTGGCCATCATAGTAAGCGAGAGCGTGGTGACCGTGATGATTCAATTTTTTTCTTCAGACTCTTCCCATTTCAACTCCCTCAGCCTTGTGAATGTTTTGCTTTGCGTACCATGTCGTTGCGTTGTGCAGAAGGTGTATTCCCGGGATCCGACATAGCCAGTGCTTCAACAGGATTCTTAGTGCCGGGCAAGACCAAAGGCTCGGTATCGTTGTTCGACCTTGGCGCTAATCCCATCACCGGACCACATGTCATAACATCAACGTCCAGCAGTTGGTTCTATCACAAGATCATATGGCACGATATGAATGGCGATGGTCGTATGGACATTCTTACAGCAAGGGCGGACAAACCTCTTCTAGGTGAGCCTTCAGGCCACCCTTTGTTAATTCATTGTTTAACGTCCTTTTTTTCGCGAAAAGGTACGCGGGAGGGCGGAAAAAAAACAAAAGCCCATTCCAAAAACTGGAAACCCCAATCAAACATTTTGACCAGTAAAGCATGTGATAATATTTATATACAATATTTCTGGGTCAAACGGCACTTGCAGGCATAGAACAACACTCTTTGATGGTACATTGGAGCACATGCCTGATGAATCCAACAAAACAGGTACATAGCATGGAGTTAGCATGTCATGAATTCATTACATCTGAATTTTTTACTAGGACACACACCGTACGATATTTAAAAGCCAACAAAAAAAGAAAAAGAACACAAGACAAAGGCATGCCCGGGAGGCAAGATTATAAGTTTAAGGTCATGATCGGCACACTGTGAAACTACACAATCATGTATTTACAACTTCGCATATTATTGGCAATATTGGTACTACTACTTTCTTGTTTTTTTTCCGGTCGGAGGCAAAAAGGTACGCGGGCGCGGACGTTAAACAACGAAAAAAGAAAGGGTGGCCTTATGCTTAGGTCCGGATGTTGCCATATGCTTATCAACCAAAATAGCTTTGAAGACTTGGGAGAAACTTATGGAGAGGTTCTGCGGCTTCCGGGGCCTTGTTTTACACTTACTTCCGAGACAAGAAGTCCGATGGCCTGGCTGTGTCACTGGTTGTCCCCTTCATGGCATCGTGAGAAAAAGATATGTGTAATGAATGGTCGCAGTATTACTGTAAATGCGCAGTGTATGGGTACATCTAACACAATTGCTTTTCCGGATGTTCTGCTCGCTGCTGTAGGGTCAACGAAGGCCGAGCTGCTCTGGCTTGAGCAGCCGGAGTCAAATCCGCTGGACTCCATCTGGCAGGAGCACTCGTTGCTTGAGGGTGGTCCGGATGTGTTCTTCATCCTGGTGAACATAACCAACGCAGCTGGACAGCGGGCGCCGTACCTACTCTGTGCCAACTACTTTGGTAAAGAGTTACAGCTGGTGTGGCCTCTGTTTGATAGCAGCACTGGCCATGTTGACTGGTCACCCAGTTCACTGCGCACAAGGAAGATAGATACCCTTGACGCGCCATTTGCTCTGCACACAGTCGATGCCAACGCAGACGGACGACTAGATCTGGCCGTGACCGTCAACAACGAAAAGAACGGCTCGGTCCGCTTCTACGAGATACCGGCGGACTTGACGAACGACACTGTCCCGTGGCCAATGCACATAGTTAGCACTGGGTACCACGCCCTCAAAGAGTCCATCGGCCGTGGCGCGCCAGGCAGCATATTCCCGCTGTGCCTGCCGAACGGCCAGCTTCTGGAGAACGGCAGCTGCTCACGCTCCTCACCGGCATCGGCAGCAGCTGCTCGCCCGTCGTTTGTGATGTCCGGTGATGATGGTGGCAATGTGTACCTGTTCAGTCCTACCGCAGAAGACTGGAAGTATGACAGGGAGGTAATACTGAACGTGGACGGAACTGTTGGGCAGTTGGCCATCGCCTCCATCGATAGCGAACAGCATCCATACCAAGTCTTTGTGCCAGACTACAATGGCCAGAAGATACACATTCTCTCAACTTGATTACCGTACAATTGTACATTTAAAAGTTGCCTATTATCATTATTCATATTTTTGTGACTAGGGCTGGCCCACTTTGCCTTCTTATGGGATACACAGGCTAGGAAACCTAGGATGATGGAAGAGTTATTTGAAGTACCTTCAAATCCTGTCCTTCAGATCGTCAATTCCAGCTGCAATTATGACTCCCTGGTGAAATTCGAATTGTCGGAAGCCCTCCATACCATGCCGGACTCGATGATCATCAGGGCACTCAGGCGCGTGCACCGGTGCCCTTCAAGGGGGGGGGGGGGGTCCGGGGGCCTCCCGGGAAAATTTAAAAAAAGAAGCAAAATCCTGCATTTTGAGCGAAAAAAGGGGGGTTCCGGGCACCCAGGAACCCATACGGGGCACGCGCCTGGCACTCACATCTTTTGGACAACCCCGGCACTACTAGTACTAGTCACTATGCCGGACTAGCACTGAGGGCAGTGACTCTAGTGAGGGCATTGACCACTGTCTTGTTGGCAGTTTTTGTCTCATCTTATCTGTTTTGATCAGGGAGTACTCCGAGTAGTCGATCTACCCGTAACCACCCCTGGTTTTGATCAGGGAGTCGTAAAATACCAGGTATTTTATGACTCCCTGGTTTTGATCGTGACATGAGCCTATGATTAGTATGAATATGACGAGTATGACTATGAGTCTCTGGTGGTTATTCATGTACTGTAGGGCTAGGGCCAAGTACACTATAGGGGACTCCCCGCCTTCATGCGTCACGTGTGCGTGTTCCACGTGCAGGCATCAAATCAGATTTGAAAAATGATCACCACTCCAGATCCATGGTCCTCCAGGCTCCAGTCTTTCACTTTTTTTAGGAATGAAGAACAGTGATCCTTGGACAATATTATTAGGAATTGTAGTAGGTCTTTGTGTGGCTACAGCGATGTTGCGTGGAAGGGTTGGTTGGAGGCTGGTATCCTCTGCTGTAGTATGCCAAACTCCGGCGCGTTCCGTGTTCTCGTCGTCGGCACGTCGCTCAAGTGGGAAAGATGAGGTCAGTGCTGCCCACACAGCTGCCCGGTCTGCTGCTTCCTCCAGCACACCCACTATATTCAGCAAAATCATCAGCAAAGAAATTCCAGCAGAAATCGTTCATGAAGATGATGTGGTAAGATTTTTTTGGAAATGATGGAAATCAGTGTCACGAGTGCAAGTACACCCAGGCTTGAAAAAAAGATGAGACGGGTTGTAAACAAACCGAAAACAAAACCGTGGTTGTCCATGTACCAGCATATGCACCGATTGTTATTTTGTCAATAGTAATTGTGAAGGGTTTCTACATTTGGTATGGTAGAGTATGTCAGTTTATAATGGCTGTTAGTTGTAGAACGTCAGTACCGTCCGTCCGTCAGTGTCATGCAATGTTATCGCATGAGCTGATAGTCAAGTAACTGATGGTGTTGTGGACATTATAGCGTAACCTGTAGTTCCTTTGTCCTTTTCTTTGCGATAAATACAATAATTATAACTCGGATACTGAGCCAGTAATAAATGAAAAATAGAAGAAAACACAAGGGAATGAGTTATGAAGCAACTATCCACGACTGTAACAAGGTAATACGCAGTCAGAAAGTGTGATAACAGGGCACAAAACTGACAAGCTACTGAGACATTCAACAACCTGAGACCTAGCTCTAACACATCTCCAGTGCGCAAACCAACGGCCTTCCAACTTGGAAGGCTCACGGAGGACCGAAGAGGGGAAGATGAGCGCAGCGAAAATGTACACAAGCTAAGTCGCACGGCAATAAAGAATACCGACTGTTACAGGACGATGACGAGACCAGCTAATAACATGACAATGCGGTCTACAATTCGAAGCAGCAAAGCAACACACCACCCAACTTGGGTGGGTCAGCAATATCAGAGATAAAGGAAGGGGGAAGCTTTGCGAAAACGAATTGTACAAAACCGGACGCCAATATCTAATGGTAACTTACGCCTTGTGCATGACAATATTGTGTTCGGTCCTACCTAACCGTGAACCTTCCAAGTTGGAAGACCGTTGGCTTGCGCACTGGAAACGTGTTAGAGCTAGGTCTCAGGTTGTTGAATGTCTCAGTAGCTTGTCAGTTTTGGGCCCTGTTATCGCACTTTCTGACTGCTTATTACCTAATACAGTCGTGGATACTCGTTCCCTTGTGTTTTCTTGTATTTTTCGTTTATTATTGGCTCAGTATTCGAGTTAAATTTTGGACACTTGATGAGCTATCACAAACAATATGGCGAAACGTGTGTCGTGTACTTGTTATCGTAGTCAACTCGTGAACATGGATAAAGGGAAAAAGAGAAATTTGCGACATTCGGATCTCCTGGGCATTCAAGATGAAATCTTTGCTTCAGTGGAGCCAGGGGAGGAGCCCAAGGGGCTGAGATGGCACCCTGGACCTCCACCCCTCCCCTAGGTTTGCAATTATGGGGGGGGGGGGGGTGTAACACCCTGGGCCTCAGCACCAATCCCAACACCTGTTCTCAGTTATGTTCTGCTACACCCGCCTGGTCCGACTGGTTCCATTATATGCCAGACGCTGTGCATCCGCAGACCTCTGAACACCGGGCTGTGTAGTACTGGTGTCGGGTGCTAACTTATTCATGAGCCCTGTTTTCATTGAGCCCAACAGGACACAGAAAGATGTGAGTGGCTCAGCGTAGTTCTTTGTGACAACTGGTGCATGAATTGAGTGCACTTGGTATTTGTGTCTTGTGTTTTGCTTCTACCTCAGAGCCTGGCTTTCCGCGACGTTAGCCCCCAGGCGCCCGTTCACATTCTTGTCATTCCAAAGCGTCAAATTCCGATGCTGTCTGACGCAGTCGAATCGGACAGCCAGGTACTAATACTAGTAGTCTTGTTACGCCTAAGATTGGGTGTTTTACTTCTTGGCATGTGTCTTTGTTGGTTTGTGGGTAGCAACAGTGTGAACATGTTTCTACATGGATCATTTTACCAATCCTGTGCATCAGTGGATCAGAATTGATGTAATGATAAGAACATGTCTTAGTAATTACAGCAGCAGCAGGGGCATGGGAAGGTATTTTAGGGTGGTACGGCTGTCCATCTGAAGTACAATTTACTAGAGGGGTTGGGGTGGCTCCTCTGAACATGTTTCGCAAATTTAGATCCCAAATCAGTGCATTTTATTGATTCACAGGGTACCTGGGACAAAGAGTGGTGCGGTCAATACCGTAGTGACCGTAGCGTGTCCGACGGCCCTGCACAATGCTACACGACGGCCCTGCACAATGCTACACGACGGCCCTGCACAATGCTACACGACGGCCCTGCACAATGCTACACGACCGCCCTGCACAATGCTACACGACGGCCCTGCACAATGCTACACGACGGCCCTGCACAATGCTACACGACGGCCCTGCACAATGCTACACGACGGCCCTGCACAATGCTACACGACGGCCCTGCACAATGCTACACGACGGCCCTGCACAATGCTACACGACGGCCCTGCACAATGCTACACGACGGCCCTGCACAATGCTACACGACGGCCCTGCACAATGCTACACGACGGCCCTGCACATTGCTACACGACGGCCCTGCACAATGCTACACGACGGCCCTGCACAATGCTACACGACGGCCCTGCACAATGCTACACGACGGCCCTGCACAATGCTACACGACGGCCCTGCACAATGCTACACGACGGCCCTGCACAATGCTACACGACGGCCCTGCACAATGCTACACGACGGCCCTGCACAATGCTACACGACGGCCCTGCACATTGCTACACGACGGCCCTGCACAATGCTACACGACGGCCCTGCACAATGCTACACGACGGCCCTGCACAATGCTACACGACGGCCCTGCACAATGCTACACGACGGCCCTGCACAATGCTACACGACGGCCCTGCACAATGCTACACGACGGCCCTGCACAATGCTACACGACGGCCCTGCACAATGCTACACGACGGCCCTGCACAATGCTACACGACGGCCCTGCACAATGCTACACGACGGCCCTGCACAATGCTACACGACGGCCCTGCACAATGCTACACGACGGCCCTGCACAATGCTACACGACGGCCCTGCACAATGCTACACGACGGCCCTGCACAATGCTACACGACGGCCCTGCACAATGCTACACGACGGCCCTGCACAATGCTACACGACGGCCCTGCACAATGCTACACGACGGCCCTGCACAATGCTACACGACGGCCCTGCACATTGCTACACGACGGCCCTGCACAATGCTACACGACGGCCCTGCACAATGCTACACGACGGCCCTGCACAATGCTACACGACGGCCCTGCACAATGCTACACGACGGCCCTGCACAATGCTACACGACGGCCCTGCACAATGCTACACGACGGCCCTGCACAATGCTACACGACGGCCCTGCACAATGCTACACGACGGCCCTGCACAATGCTACACGACGGCCCTGCACAATGCTACACGACGGCCCTGCACAATGCTACACGACGGCCCTGCACAATGCTACACGACGGCCCTGCACAATGCTACGCGACGGCCCTGCACAATGCTACACGACGGCCCTGCACAATGCTACACGACGGCCCTGCACAATGCTACACGACGGCCCTGCACAATGCTACACGACGGCCCTGCACAATGCTACACGACGGCCCTGCACATTGCTACACGACGGCCCTGCACAATGCTACACGACGGCCCTGCACAATGCTACACGACGGCCCTGCACAATGCTACACGACGGCCCTGCACAATGCTACACGACGGCCCTGCACAATGCTACACGACGGCCCTGCACAATGCTACACGACGGCCCTGCACAATGCTACACGACGGCCCTGCACAATGCTACACGACGGCCCTGCACAATGCTACACGACGGCCCTGCACAATGCTACACGACGGCCCTGCACAATGCTACACGACGGCCCTGCACAATGCTACACGACGGCCCTGCACAATGCTACACGACGGCCCTGCACAATGCTACACGACGGCCCTGCACAATGCTACACGACGGCCCTGCACAATGCTACACGACGGCCCTGCACAATGCTACACGACGGCCCTGCACAATGCTACACGACGGCCCTGCACAATGCTACACGACGGCCCTGCACAATGCTACACGACGGCCCTGCACAATGCTACACGACGGCCCTGCACAATGCTACACGACGGCCCTGCACAATGCTCCACGACGGCCCTGCACAATGCTACACGACGGCCCTGCACAATGCTACACGACGGCCCTGCACAATGCTACACGACGGCCCTGCACAATGCTACACGACGGCCCTGCACAATGCTACACGACGGCCCTGCACAATGCTACACGACGGCCCTGCACAATGCTACACGACGGCCCTGCACAATGCTACACGACGGCCCTGCACAATGCTACACGACGGCCCTGCACAATGCTACACGACGGCCCTGCACAATGCTACACGACGGCCCTGCACAATGCTACACGACGGCCCTGCACAATGCTACACGACGGCCCTGCACAATGCTACACGACGGCCCTGCACAATGCTACACGACGGCCCTGCACAATGCTACACGACGGCCCTGCACAATGCTACACGACGGCCCTGCACAATGCTACACGACGGCCCTGCACAATGCTACACGACGGCCCTGCACAATGCTACACGACGGCCCTGCACAATGCTACACGACGGCCCTGCACAATGCTACACGACGGCCCTGCACAATGCTACACGACGGCCCTGCACAATGCTACACGACGGCCCTGCACAATGCTACACGACGGCCCTGCACAATGCTACACGACGGCCCTGCACAATGCTACACGACGGCCCTGCACAATGCTACACGACGGCCCTGCACAATGCTACACGACGGCCCTGCACAATGCTACACGACGGCCCTGCACAATGCTACACGACGGCCCTGCACAATGCTACACGACGGCCCTGCACAATGCTACACGACGGCCCTGCACAATGCTACACGACGGCCCTGCACAATGCTACACGACGGCCCTGCACAATGCTACACGACGGCCCTGCACAATGCTACACGACGGCCCTGCACAATGCTACACGACGGCCCTGCACAATGCTACACGACGGCCCTGCACCATGCTACACGACGGCCCTGCACCATGCTACACGACGGCCCTGCACCATGCTACACGACGGCCCTGCACCATGCTACACGACGGCCCTGCACAATGCTACACGACGGCCCTGCACAATGCTACACGACGGCCCTGCACAATGCTACACGACGGCCCTGCACAATGCTACACGACGGCCCTGCACAATGCTACACGACGGCCCTGCACAATGCTACACGACGGCCCTGCACAATGCTACACGACGGCCCTGCACAATGCTACACGACGGCCCTGCACAATGCTACACGAATACCTTTTTAGTACAGGATAGCCGGTGATCGCAACTCCACAGGAACCCCGTTAGCAGAGCTGCAGGTGCCATTATTTGTCCGCTTGTCTTGGCTCTCCTGCGGCATAGGTAGTAGCAAGTATCTGTATCTCGTCTCCATCCCCTGGCTATCATTGAAAACGGCGACTCGTACACGTACTTAAATTTACATGTAATATACCCAATGATGATTTAGTCTAAGTCATATTCGTGTTATAGCTGTAGCTACCGGTGTTGTGCACAGCGCTGTACTACAGCGTATATGCTTTTTTTAACTTAGTTCTGTTGCCCGTTTGTGTTGTTCTGCATCATGTTGCAGATCCTTGGCCATTTACTGTGGGTTGCCAAGCAGGTTGCGGAGACCGAGAACCTTGCGAAAGGTTATCGCATCGGTGAGCTCCATGAACTGTTAATTCTCTGGCCATGGTGCTGGTGCAGTCAAACCTTACTGTGCTACTAGTATTATTCTCGATATGGTTTGGAGTTTTGGACAATGAGACATAGAAGAGTCAACTAATTAGGAGCAAGAAATGCACAACCAGCAGGTCAGTGAAACCCAAGAGAAGCCCCGAGCCCGTGAGAGAAGCACATCAAAAGCTCTGGCCTACGGGAGACAGCCTGCATGACGTACCTACGGCATGCAGCGCACACGGTCATAAGTGTACAGTAGTGTACACATGACAGAGTCAGGACATTCCTTCATGCCTTTTACTTTTTTTACTGTTTCGGATAGTTGCCGCGGTTGGCTATCACCCTTCATTTCACATTCATTTGTCATTGGCAGTCGTTTGACGAGCCAGGAAATGTCGAATAAATACCAAAAAAATACTACATCTCCCCTTTCAAGGCGCGCAGCAAGAGAGAGATAGCAAAGCAGGAATAAAGCTAACGACGAAAGAGTGACACCAAATGGCTAACAGAATCTGACAAGACTGTGCCCTGAGAAGAGAAAAGGTCCGAGAGATATAATGCAAGTATCCTGGAAATGCTCTGAAGAAATAACAGAGTTCAGCGAATTATTTACATCTGATGGGCGTATGAAAAAGCACGTCCAGAAAGGGATGGGAGTAACTGGAGATGAAGAACGTTGAACGGGAGACACTAGCTCACCAGTGTCTTCAGAGTCGACAGGAACTGCTGGAGGACAATGATGAGAGCATTGTGGTTGCGACGGAGAACAGAACCGGATGGCGTCCCAACAATTAGCGACCGGGTAGAATGCTCAGCAGTGACGATCTTTTCTGTCTGGGACAAAGACAGCGGTACCAGGAACCAGTGACGGAGCATCACGGGCACCATGACGAGAATTAAAATCCGATGCTTGCCGGGACTTCAGCGAGGCGTCTTTGGCAGCAAACACAGGGGGATTTACAAGGTATGGACGTCGAAGGTCTGCAGACATGGGCGAATGTGTCTGGATGCGGCGGCCCATGAGGAGTTCCACAGGAAGCCATGTGCTAGAGGACAGGCACGATAGCTCTGCAGATCAACGTAAGGATCACCTCCCCTCACCAGCAAATTCTTTAGGGTCTGCAGTCTCTGCACAGCGCGTTCTACTAAGCCATTGCCTTGCGGATGAAGAGGGCTGCTTGTGCGCTGAGTGGTTCCTTGCTCTCGAAGCCATGCTGCAACCTCTGCACTTGTGAATAGGGACCATTGGAAACGAACACATCTGGGTTGCCGTGATGCGCAAACATGGACTTCAGCTGCAGAATGACAGAAGCTGCAAGCTCAATCCATCGGGAGTAGTAGTCAACGACGGCTAAGTGCTGAGAACCTTAGAACTGCATGAAATCAGCAGCGAATTTCTGCCACCGGAACTCAGGAAGACATGAGGACAGCAGGGGCTCCACTGGCGATAGCTTGTCACGAGCACAGGCCTGACAATTGGACAAAATACCAGCCAACTTGGGCACTTAGACCTGTAGTCGTACTACATGTATAACACCTTATTATTTTACTTGAGGTCTGTGTTTCCCTTTTAAACATGTGCGCTCAGTCCTGTATAGTGCAGCATACTGAAGGATCCTTGCTCGTACATGTCTCCCCGTACTCCTGCCTTAGCATGCTGTACAGTGTAAAAGAAAAGGATTTATGATCTGGAAGTGTGGCTTGAGAAGGAAGTGCTAGATTTACAGTACATTCCCAGACAGAATCATAGTGTTTGCAATGTGCCCTTGGCGCACAGACACTCAGTTTTGTCCCTGGTTTAAGAAAAAACGGTTTACTCCTTTTCACTAGCTGTTTCTTGCTGTGTTCGTAAACAAGGGACACCCAGCAGAGTGAGTCACTCACCACTGCTGTTTCTTCTCTGCTTTGTATGACAGTGATCAATAACGGCGAACACGGAGCACAGTCAGTGTATCATCTCCATGTTCATTTGCTCGGTGGACGACAAATGCAGTGGCCGCCTGGATAGACAGCTGGATACGATACGCTTATCGCATTGTCCTTGGGTATACCGGGGCTTGCATGTGTTTCACTCTTTTAAAAATGGATTTGATATGGCTTTGTTAGTCATGTGCACCAAGCACCCAGCATCCATAGATTCACTCTCATACCCATGGTCGCAGCTATGTCACTTGCTGGAGGCCGACAGTTACTCTCTTTGTACGCATTATACTCAGAATTTAGGTATATGTTCCATGCATATCGGACTTGATGTTGGGGCTCTTTGCACGCTGCCCCTTGTAAACGTTCCCTCAAACAGCAGAACACCATTCTGATGGCGTTGACTTTAGTGCCAGCTTTTGCAATTCTGTTGCTAGTAGTACCCGGTGATGCCCTGTAGCGTGCACTGCCATTATGAGCAATACATCCGTGCACTCAATCCTATACTGCATTGTACAGTTACAGCAAGTGCAATCAGAACCAATGTGCACATTCAATGCAGAAATGGAAAAAAGGGGAGAAAGTATGTACATACAGGCAGATCATGTACATACTTTCTCCCCTTTTTCCATTCCTGCTCTCCTTCCCTTGTCCATCATCCCATCACTAAAAGTAATGAGATGCCCATGTGAGATGTAAGAAAAGAATTACCAGCTCCACAGGGTACGGTGACCGAGATATTAGCATCAATACAAACTTATGATGATGAAAGTCAGGCCAGGGGTGTATGTTCTTCCGATATCCCTCGCCTTTTCTTTCTTTTCCCGATCATTTAATATATGATCTATCCCTTTGCCTGCAGCTATCAGCAACAACCAATATCATGATGCGCGCATCAACACAAAGCAAAAAAATCAAAAACGAAATCAGAAGTGTAACCTGCTCTCGGAGAAGCAACGCTAACACACGCTTGGTTTTACAATGCCTCGACGAGTCATGCTCTGTTTTGCAATGCCACATGCACGACTCCTGATCGTTGAGGCTGCGAGTGCAGGATAGCTGCAGGGAACATGTAGCCATGGACATGGCACCACAACCCTGACAAGAATGTGATGCTATTCGCTTACTGGGCCTTACAAGCAGCATAAACACTTGTGCAAAGCAGCACAGAGATATTCCTCACACACAAACGCTTGTACAGTGCATATCGGTTATAGCGTGGGCGTGTAAAATAATATACTGCCTACAAGAATGAACTCTCATGTTTTCATAATCATAACATGGATTTCAAGTGCACATTTATTCTTACAAGCAATTTTATCCCATAGTTTTATCGGTCCTAAGAATGGACTTTGTGTAGCGAAACAGGCCAGTACAAAGTGTATCGCCTGTAGTAATACTAATAGCATCTGTCCAATTCCGTTCTCATCTGACTCTCGTTGCGTCGTAGTGCTGCAGATTCAACTGTTGTGATCATGTAACTCATTTTGCATAGCCACATGGTAAGCCTATGGGACTATGACCAACCACATGCACAGAAGTACTGCGTTGCATGTACGATGATCTTCCTGCCCCTGCGCACATGCATGTGATATGCCACACTTGATTTATCGTGCGTAAGAAATATCGGAAATAAGAATAGAAAGTCGTTTTTCAAACACCCACGCTATAACCGACACCTACTGTCATTGTAAATACTTCAAAGTAGGTAGTAATATATTCCATAAATTGTGGATTCAAAAATTAAAATGCAACATCTCAAGCAACCCCAAACAAGTATCGTGACTGAAGAGTTTTTCGAGTCCATTGGGATGAAGGAATTCAGCAGCTTCAGTAATGATATTACAGCAGTGTACATGCAGTAGAAGAATAGAAAAAACAACTACTTTTCCTATCAACAACATCAGAGCAAATATACGGCACAGCAAGCTGTCAACACAATAGGTAAAAAAAGAATATCTACGACGGCTATCTACTAATGCTATAATAGCTCCAGGGAGCGACTAGAGGACTTCACGCAAAGGACAGTTACTTACACACGTCCAGTGTGTGTGAGAGATGACCTTGCTCCACGTAGCATGGGACACATTGCGAGGACGCAGATGTACCACAGACGATATTGACATGTGACGCATGCTGCTCAAAAACCTACAAAGATGCAGAGAAGTCACAGGAATGCACAGCAAGAACATGTATGTACCTTGTAAGTCAAAAAGCCTGCGTGTGTGAACACACAGTGCACCGTAAAGTAGTGCACAGCTACAGGGCTTCCGGCGTTGTGGTAAAGACTGCAAGATATATGGCTGGCTTTGCAGGGTGTGGTTACGATCAGCTCTTGCAGGGTGTGATCGCAAATGTTGTTAGCTATCAGTAATACATGCAGTACGAATGCTGTGCTGTGAATGATTACATTTACTGACCCTTGTATACCATAATCAGGCTGGCAGAATGTAAAGCCGCACCATGCAACACAGGTACTGTCCAACAGAAAGTGCTAGCAAGTGAATGCCGCTGGTGTTGACAGCCACAATAGCTCTCAACCATATACATGTACTGGAATTGCACTGCTAGTAAACATATACACATCTTGCAAGAGCAAAATCATGGAAACTAGTAGCATGGACAGGTTTGACGTCACGCAGTAGCCCCTGTCAATACAATTGAATACATGGTACTTGAGTAACTTGACACATGCCGTCGTCTGTGCTGTGGTCGAGTTCAATGTGCAAGAGCAGTGCGTGTGTGCAAGTCTTTGCACTGCTAAATACCGCACACAGCTCATGGAATGGAGGCTCATGCGTACATGTGTGTGTGGTGTGTATATGCATGTACACAGTAGAGTTATTCCTCCACGCACGTGCATTTATCTGCTCCAGCTACCTTTTGAAAAAGTAGTTATGTTGGCAACGACATCCGCCTCACGACTTTTCCACTGGCTTGCCATCATTGCTCAGCTTGACACCAGTCGCGGGCTTGTCGTCTTTGCCTTCCTTGGCTGCTGCGTCCTTTGGCTGTGCACTGTCCTTGTCAGCACTGGCCGCAACCGCAGATACTGCAGCCAAAGGAACGAGAACCTCTATTACGCCAGGCAGGGGCGGGGGTCAGCATGGTAAGTGATGGCACAAGCATATATGGAATAGCGAATACCACAGGGTGCATGCAGATCACACGCTACCGGTACAACTTGGGCTGACAGGAGTGCAGCGACCCCCTATAGCAATGTGACGTATGTCACATATCACTGCCCGACGGAATGGGTACGGAAGCTGCATTCTAGTTTCCATATACGCTTGATACTACAGTCCTGCTTAATGAAATCCAGTCTTGATACTACAGTCCTGTTTAATGAAATCCAGTCGCGTCACTCGAGTTTACGCCTTGTATCATTTCGCAGTCCAGTGTTCGCAGGTCTAGGGCTGAGCGACGCCCGGCGTGTACTTGAGTGATGCGACTGGATTTCAATGAGCAGCACTGTACGCGTAGTCGCACTGCATACAGCAACGTTCATGTTAAAAACTGTGTGCATTTATCAGGGCTGCCACACTTGGAGGGAGAAAAATCTGACGGGGGGTGTCCCCCGGTGACAATTTTTAGGAAAATGGCTTGCTGTTGGGGCCCCAGAACACATTTTTAACTGTCCACACACATGCAAGCACGCGTGCATTTTCTCAGCTACATGCACATGTACATGTACAATGACTGGCCAAACGCGACCTGGAAGCGCCGAATGGCCAACTGGACTAAAAAGCGCTCAAAATAAAATAATCGGTTGTCCCTCTTTGGGAACAAAATCGGTCGGTTTGTCCGACAGGCGATCAAAAATCGGACGATTTCCGAAAAATCGGACGATTTCCGAAAAATCGGACGATTTCCGAAAAATCGGAGCAAGTGGCAGCCCTGATTTATATGCAGATTCCAGGGCACTAGAACATCCACCAGTCTCCAGTGCTTTGCAACGAGCCGGATGCCAGTGGTCATGCGACAGTGGCATGGGAACCGCATAGACACACATGGTTCGGTTGCAGCATTGGCAGCATTGACAGTATTGACACACATACGTGTGACAATACAGAACAGTTCCGAGCACTGTGCATGCAGCACATGTCAGTGATGATGTCAGTGATGATGTCAGTAGCCCCCTCATGCTACACTTCTGCAGTGCAGCACTACTTGATAAGAGTCTTCTCCAGGGCACCTCAGCACAAGAATGGTGTGATAACAATACAATGACAGGCTGTGTACGTGCTCTCTTATCGGTGGACTTGTTATTAGAACACATAGGCAGTCACAGTCACATGTTGCTTGTCTCACCTTTCTTGTCCGCTACAGTTTGTTCTTGCACTGGGCGCACAAAGCGCGGTGCAGGTAGTAGGTCATCTTCCTTGCGCGCCCCGTATGGATGCAGTCGGTAGATATAGAAGTACAGCTCGCGCATCAGATTCGGAGTAATGTAATGAAACGAGATGGAGAGGTCCGAACAGCACTCGGGTCCCTGTGACAGCGGCGGAAAAGACAGCAGCAGACAGCATGCATATGAGTACCTAGGATGACAACTGGATAACGCTGCACAGTTTAACCAGTTCAGCTATGCTGGATGAAACTCCATCTTGGGTTGCTATGTAGTACAATAAATGCTCAGGCCGAGGGTTTATTGGTTATAAACCCGAGGCCGAGTATGTATTGTATTTTATAATACAAGTAGGTTCAATCCATAAAAATCTCCCGCAAGTAATACCACCATTCGGAGAGGTATTCGAGTTCCAGTGCAGCACGAACAATTCTATCTTCGCTGTACACGTGTATGTCGCGAGTCATCATTTGTTGACTTTTGCTGCCCAGCACATACACCCCTATCCTGTAACTAATAATTACTTTCCAAATGGTTCGGTGCTTCTTACCTGGTCGTTACCAGTCCTGGAAATCGCCTAGTTAGGACAATGTGTATGTACGGGTCCCACGTGATGAAAACATTACGTCAGAAGGAGAAATATAACGCCAAGGCGGAGCTGGACCCTGTCTCACAGCACGCGGTGGTCATAACAAAAGGGAAAATGAACTTTTTTTCAAAAAATCTCCGTTCCTTTCCTTTCGTCCAGCATTATTTTGTTTTACTTCCGTTTTCGATTGTACAATGTCACTCAACTCCTCATCCCCGTCGACTCGTAAGAGAAAGATAACTGGCTATCGCCGACAAAGTCAAGCGCCTGAGCTGCCTCAGCAAACGTAAAAATGATGGCTTGATTCGAGCGGTAAGTATCCTCTATCCTCTACCTTGTTGTACATTGCGAACTTTCACCTGATAAGTTTCTTGTGTTTGCATCTTTGTGTTGACGCAGGGCATGGAGCTTCATGAAGCTACACACGCCAAAGTGCTAGTTCTGGTGATATCTCCATCAGGTGTTGAGCACCTATATAGCAGCAGTCCGGTAGACGACTTCTTTCCAGCAATTAAAAATCGAATTCCCCACCTCCTGCCCCTACAACTCCCACACCACCAACTCCCACCTCACCAACTCCCACCTTATCATGCACTAAGCCTAGCTTTACTCCAGTCGCATGCATAGCACGCCCAACCTCTTACCAGTAAAAATTGATTCACCATCATGTACAAATATTATTACGAGTTGATTCACCATGTATATTCTGATTTTGTTCTAGAATGTGGCATGTGAGAATACCATAATTATGCCATATCGTCAAAGGCACACATTTGGAGTTGAAACGAGGGATTCTTAGTAAAAAAACATAGTTTATCATTGTTGATGAAGATAATAAACGAAGGTGCTCAAAATTTATGACAAAATCACCGGCAGTGGGGGCACAATCACTTGCACACGACACAACATAGCGGCGTAGCAGCTCATCAATGCATCCATCTGTGAAGCGACTAAGGTCATCATAAGTGCGGTGGTGGTCCTTGGCCTTGTGGGCCCAGTACAGCTGATGCGGCGAAGAAGAAGTGTAGCCTTGACTGAAACAAAACTCTTTGTACACAAAAGGCCAAAGATTCTTGACAATGGCCTGGATTAAGTTCATCTCCCAGTGAAGGCCTCCACTTTGCGACACAACCCAGTCGAACTCACCTGCAGGGATGCTACCCAGCACATTCAAATCTCCACTCGCTACCCTGCCCTGTACATGAGTGCTTACACGGCTACGCAATGATGCTAGGCTGCCAGACACATTCAAAGAGTGCTGCCTACAGTAGCCCACCAACGACTCCTTGGTCATGCTACCTACATCTAAAATGCCCGCGGCATGGTACGCTGCTTTCCTGGCCTCGTCTCTACTTTGAGCAATGGTGGTACGCATCAGCGAATATGGAAGGCCATCACAGACAATGGTAAGCCACTCTCTACAGCCCTGCTCACCAACACATTGTTTCACACCTGCACTTGTCCCAATTTCCCTCAGGAGAACACGCACTGCCTCATGTGAATTGGGGTTCACAAAGACAGGCTCAAGCAATCCTACGTTTGCCGGAGGGACAGGAGGAGAATCCAACTGCATTGAGCGTGTTGCCCTAACCCGCCCTACATTAACCCAGCCACTGTTTGCTACAAGTGCGATCCTGCACCCACTGTCGGGGAAGACGGAGAACTTCAGTCCAGGACACTCGAGAAAGACCGCTGCTTCTGCGATAGCAGCCCTGATGTTTGTGACTGCACACTCTGAATTGCTACATTTGGCGCATGCTACGTTTTGCTGCCCCTGCGGATGACTGCACTGAAGTGGCGCCGTCATGCCACACACAAAAGCCTCTACTACGGGATTATAGGAGCGGGAAGTGATGCGCCCAGCGGGGATGCCCAGCAATGACTCCACTTTCCTACTCTCCTTTGAGTGGCTAATGGCGTCTAGAGTTTCCGCAAACAGAAACTTATTCTCTATCTTACATATCTCATTAACTACCTTTACCCTACCATGCTCTGTCGCAAGAAGCTCATCTAAAAATTCCCTTGACTTCAGCAACCCCTCAACCTCCTTCTGCAACTTCTCCACTAAATCCCTTAGTTCCTCACAGTCCCCACACCCTACTACTAATGCCTCACAGTCCCCACACCCTACAGGTTTGTTTTCTGGGAGTGGGCTAGGTGGGGCAGGTACCTCACTTGGAGATGGAACCTTGAGCGAGTCTGCCGACGTCCTTGGTGGTGCATACAGCTCGTGCTGGACGACTTCTGGCTTGCAGTCGGCCACAGCTCTGCACCCTCTGCAGATCGAGGAAACAGGACGTCGAGCAATACTGGAGAGGACGTTCAGCACAGCCCTTCTCGTTATCGTGTCCTTGGCGGACGAGGAAGGGCTTTCACAATCCGAATGGAAAGGGTTAGGACAAGAGTAGTGTCAAGGAGTAACACTAACTCTACGCTTAGAGCGCCGCGTCTGGATACCACTCTTCTTCATTGCCTCAGCTCAATAAACTACGACAAACTGTGATAAATTCGTTCCAAGCGATCTATTTTCTTCACTTTTTGAAAAATTGGCACATGAAAGTGAATTTTTTTCTCACTGGATATCTCAAGGAGTCCTATTACTCTCATCTCCGCATGCACAGAATCTCCGCAACTCAACAGGTTTTTCCGCATTGGACATGCAAGGGAAAGAAATTTGCTGATTCACGGTGCTTACAAATCCATGTTCACTTTGTGCAGGAAAAAATATGACGCTTGCAGACGCGTACGCACCGTACGTGATTTCCAAGGAAACCTCCGATGCCCTAACTAGGCGATTTCCCAGACCTGGTTACTGTGTACACATATTGAAAATCACTGGTGCAAGGAGCATTGCGTCACGAAAATGATGTCAACTTGAAATTCTGTCGGGACAGCAGGGTATGCTGGAGTTGCACATTCTTGGGGGTTATGTACTCTTGGTGCCATCAGGAGGTATGGACTCTTCAACATATGGGCCATACTAGGGAGTGCAAGTGCGTTCTTGATGAGTCCCTTTCGGGACCTAACATTGCAATGTACCAGGCAGCATGAAGTGCATACAAAATGCGTACAGAGTCGGACCTCCAGTATAAATGTGGTGGTACAATGTCTTTAGTTTAGATCAGGGGTCTATACAACCCCTAGTTTAGATCTACATTGTACAAGTACAAAGCATCAACATCAAGCAACAGTCTCTATGTGTGTTCTCTTTCCACCGTCATCCATGTGCATGGAATGTGTGCTCCGAGAGCACTGCATTATGTAATGCTCTCCGAGCAAAAAACATCACTATTTGTAGGGGTTTCATTAGCCTACTCCAGCTCAACTGACGAGGGGTGAATTCCCTGAAGCACTGAGCAATAAACAGGGAGTGGTGCTTTCTTGCAGGTTTGCCGAGTGGAAGGTTCAATGGACTTCTCGTGTGCTCTGGATGGCAGTCGTGAGTGAGTCAAGTTAAAAGAGAGAGAAAGAGAGAGAGAGAGAGAGAGAGAGAGAGAGAGAGAGAGAGAGAGAGAGAGAGAGACTACACACTGGGAAAAGCATTGAAACTAAACACACATAGATGTGCATGCGCATATCCAAGCAGACACACATACACTCATCCCGTGCGCACGCGCACGCACACACACACACACACACACACACACACACACACATGTACATACGCATACACACATACACACATGTACACTCACTCACACCCACATGCACATGTACACACCCATGTACATACGCACACACACACACACACACACATACACACACACACACACACACACACACACACACACACACACACACACACACACACACACACATACACACACACACACACACACACACACACACATACACACACACATACACAAAAAAACACACACACAGTACTACTACTTGTACACACCCACTGATCATATCAAAAGCACAAGCAAGGTACATGTAGCTGATGTGTAGACAACACTTACTTCCTTAGCAGGATACATCACATAATCACGATACCAGAACTTCTCCGGAATCAGACCAGGTATGAGATGCTGTTCGGGAACAAATGGATGAAATCTGTCCTTGCCTGTAAAGTGCAGCAACACAACCAAACATGCAGGCAGAAGTTCAGTAGTGCAGTAAAACACACACTTACACACACTCTTTCAAACACACACATGCACATTAGATGTACGTCCAGAACCGCATTCTCTCTCTCTCTCTCTCTCTCTCTCTCTCTCTCTCTCTCTCTCTCTCTCTCTCACACACACATACACGTACGCACACACGTACACACACACACACACACCTTGATCTTTGACGCCCATCGCCGGAGGCGATGATATCGATGCTACAGCAGAAACCATAGCAACTTTTGCTGGGATTGCATCATTCAACAGCTTGCAAGGCTGAAGAATTGACCGCCACTATTCAGCCTGGTATACACCGCAAAGCTACATGTATTTGAAGTGGTGTTTTCTGGCCAGTGAATCCCTACTTTTTGGTCTTTTCCCCGCCCACCTACCACACCAAATACTCCGGGCATGCACTGGCTGTTGGTAACCACCCAGGAGAATGAAAGAAAGTCAGAAGAAGAAGAAGAGAGGTGTATGCGATCATAATCGTCAGGAGCTTAACCCTTTACCATCCGTGCGTACTTGAATCGATCGATGGACATGCCTACACTAAAACATTCGTAACTCGATCGATTCTTGTCAGAATTTAAAGAACTAAGTATCTAGGAAGAAGCCGAAGAGCCCAGCTTTCCATTGCATCAATCGGTAAAGAGCTGCGATGTCGCATTCCAAAGATATTTTGCTCGACATTTCAGCTACGGCAAAAGTCGAATTTCTTTCCGAGTGACTGACCTTGAGCGGGGCTTTTCCCCTCTCCTGACATGGTGAGTCACTTTGGCATGCTTCGAGCGCGTGGGCAGCATGAAAAGAAACTCAAGCAAAACATTTGGAATGTTTACGATGAAGGAGCGAGAAATGGCTGACGAGGAGAGATTTTCCTCGTATATACAGCGATGGGGTGTATTTAAAGCTCCCTGGCGCTGGATATGTGATCTCGGTAGTGCCCTGTTTGAGCTCAATGTACGCAGCTCGTGGAGAGCTTTCCAGAATGCCCAAGATTGTGAAAATTGGTTGATTAGAACCGAAGATATTCTCAGAATAAGGTGAGAATTATTGCATTTGGGACTGCTGGGGAAATTTGGTCGGATGGTAAAGGGTTAACTTGCAACTTATCAGTTAAAACACCCCCCCCCCCCCCCACCCAGATACATACATACACACACACACACACACACGCATCCCCCCCCCCCCCCCCCCACACACACACAAGGTGAACGCACATGTAACACCGACAATAAAAGCTGCAATAGTAGAAGGCATTACCACTGTCTTGAGAGTTTCCAGTTGGCACTCCGACTTCCCTGAGACATGCACCAAACTTGGCATCCTCTACTTGCCACACTCCTTTGGCACACTTCTCATCCTCAGCAAGGAGCGGGCCCTACAGGTTAACAGCACGCCAAAGGAAAGAAAGGTCGAGTTCACTAGTATCCTTTAGTATCAATGAGGGTGCAATACCCTATAGTCGCACACATGTAAGACGGCGTAGTCGCCTGTTTGTGATGCGACTTTAAACAAAAGTACAAAAACAAGCCCTGGTTGCATCGTCTACGATGCTACAACCACAACTGTTATAATGAGAACGCGCATTGAAGCAGGGCATCAGAACTCAAACAAATCAATCTATCGTTTTCACATCGGCTAAGCTAGGTGCTCAAAGTACACTCTGCACATGAATACTTGTCATCAGCCCACTACCATACGTGTGCAACAACAGACTTGAGTAGCTCACTACCATATTATAGAGCGCAACAACAGACCTCAAGTTGCTCACTACCTATGCATCCACTGCAGCCTCCCTGGATCAAAAGCTCACAACACGTCATCGCCGGAGTACTGACTCTAACTGGCTTGGTCTGAGGGCCTCAGCTTCACGCAGTGTTCCCTAAACGAGCTCACTAGGTTCTAAAACCAGCCATTTTTGCTTGGAAAATGTGCGCACGGATGCCTGGTACAGTGCCTATGCGTCGTTACTGCTGGTTACAGACGGCGTGGGTCGATTCAATCCTGAGTACCTCACGAACAATGCACCGCAGCCTCCTTAGACCAAGACAATCTAATTCAGCGCCCAGAGGACAATGAGAGCTGGCGTCCCGTGAGAAAAATAACTCATCGTGAGCTGCATGCATGCAGGAGATGTGGAGTAAATACATACTTAGTACATGTAAATTATAGTTTCAGGGGATGGAGTATGGATATATTACATGTACATTGTAGTTTCAGAAGGTAGAGTATGTATATAGCATGCCTATACACCTACCACTTGCTTCAGGGCTGCGCGACTGACCACATAGCCTGCACCTCCACTCTGATAGGTTCCCATTGGCTTAAATACCCTGAGAACGAGCATGCGCGCACACACACACCACACACACGTATATACGCACGCACGCACACACACACACTCAGCTTTCCATCTAATTTGTGCTTCCAAATTCGGTCAGAGTGTGTTACGTAAACTACACGAAGCAACACACACACACACAGTAGGCAACTCCCACGGCTCACGAAAGGCTCAATTTCTATGCATGTCAACACTAAAACCAGGCTTATGTGCCAACAGTGTATCTTGAAAATCAGGCTTGTATTCAAAGCAGGCTTCCGTACGAGACGGGCTTCAGTCCACTACCGTAAACATTAGCTGTTCATATTGGCGTGCACACAGCACAGTACTAAACGCAAGAAACCGTGGCAGGAAGCTATTGATGACAGTGTACCCTCGAACAGCAGCTGGCAAAAACCGGTTACTAGTTAAGTACGATGTGCACGCATCATTATCGACCAAACATTCACAGCAGTCGTACGCCGCATACTGACCGTCCAAAGTAGTGGCCTTCATTCGGATCGTGCAGCGAGCAGAAGTAGCGCAGGTTTTCCACAACAACAAAGCTGTCGTCATCTGCCTTCATGAACCTAATCATAGGGAAGAACCGGCACGTGAACATCATACCACTGGTATCACTCACAAATTCAATGCAGCTTACAGCTGCTGCTGCAGGAATATGTTTGGCTCTGAGACCCTAAGAGTTAACAGGAGCATTTTTCACTTTCGTCAGAAACCAAGACACTCAAACATAGTGTAAGCTATTGTAGAAGAAAATAGAATACGGTACATGTATTCCGACTCACATGGGCATCTCATTACTTTTTAGTGATGAGATGATGGACAAGGGAAGGAGAGCAAGATTGGAAAAAAGGGGAGAAAGGAACGGACAGCTCAAAACTGATGTGTTGAATCAGACAACCAAACGAAAAGGCGAGCTCACCAATCGTAATCATCTCCAAAGTTCTTGTACGTGTAGTACCAGGCCTTCCTGGACTTCTCCCATAGCTTGTCCCGACCTTCACCAGTCATTTTCAGATCGATTGTGGGAATTAACTCATCCACTTTCGAACTCATGAACACAACCTTATTACATCTAGTCAGTATACATTCACACACACGTTAACATGCGCCACCACACATGTAGACCGATGCAGGCACACACACACGTTAACATGCGCCACCACACATGTAGACCGATGCAGGCACACACACACGTTAACATGCGCCACCACACATGTAGACCGATGCAGGCACACACACGCACACACACGCGTGCACACACACACACACACACACACACACATAAACACATCAAATTGGCATACTTCCAAGGACACCTCTAAGAGATTCACAACCGGTTACCAAACTCCATGCACTGGGGAAGCCCAATTGTCTTGCCACATCCATGTGAATGCCTTCTCAAAGGACACACGTTCCCCACTTCAGGTTGCAGCTCAAACACACCGGTAATACTTGTAGCAACATTGATATTCCAAGCAAGGTTTGAAAATAACGTTTGTGTTTACATGAAGCACGTTGACCCCGAGGAGACTTCAGGTCGTCCCTCGTTAATACATAATCTCTGGGACTTGAGAAATGTTATGTATTAACGGGGTTTATGTACTAAACGAAAGTGTACATAACTTGCTTGTGAACCAGAATTTTTCACTTTTTTCAACTTTTCCGAGTGTTTCTTGCTACCATGGCTAGGGAGTGAGATAATCTTGATTCCCTCCATATAACATAAAAATTATGTTATAGCGGTCACAGTCAGCAAAGATTCTACAGTTTACATGATACATGTCCAGCCGCGCCTGTACAGTCACTCAGAAAAAAACAGAGCTTTGTTGGTTTGTGATGTGCGCTCTGATTTCTGAGCCACAAGTAGAAACTAGAACACGATGTGCCTCCACTCGAAGGGCAAAAGACCAACAAATTATGTACTATTCAGGTAGGTGGCATGCGGGTACGGAGAAATGTTATGTACTAACGGGGTTTATGTACTAACGAATTATGTACTAACCGACAAAATTTGGATGGAAGTGACCACGTTTCGTCCGGGACTTGAGATTTCTTATGTACTAACGGGGTTTATGTACTAACCGGACTCGTATTAACGGGGGACGACCTGTAGTTAGATAATTAATATCAGGGAGTAGTAAAATACCAAACTTTACTACTCGCTGCTAATATAATAATTATGCCGACACAAGCCCACTTCTGGAGTCCTGTATGGTCGTGTATCTACTTTGGAAGAAAACAAGTGTGCGCTATGCTGTGCGATCCTGGCATGAAATACACACACAAAGTACGATGGTACGCTTTCTTGATTTTAACTCCGGTCAAGCGCAAAGCATCATGGAGATGCTCTAGTCAACGTGTGTACCAGTACCGTAAAGTACCGCCAGAGCGCCCCACCTTGATTTTACAGCCAGAGAAAGGAAAATCGTATGGCAGAGTGCAACGAAGTGTGTACGATGTGAGAATCTTAGTGTACTAAGGTCACACTTGGCAGGTTTTTGTGTGGAGCTTGTGTTCTCTTGAAGGTACGGATTGACTGCAAAACGTGCAATATGTGTACAAGGTTCATGTCGTATGACCTACAGACAGCAGACCACCTCCACAATACGACCACGAAGGGATGAGATGGTGGGGCGCTCTGGCGGTACTTTACGGTATATAGTGGGTTGAATGCACTCACGTAAACTCAGCCCCAGTGGCCCAGTTGAGCAAGGGAGAAGAGAACTGGCTGGGAAATGAACAAGGCACCGGAGTAATACAGCGCCCTACCTTGGTGCCCACGTGTCTCTCACAGCTTTAGCCTTGGTGGCATGGTTGCTTGGATACGTCAGCACCCAGCAGAAGACTTTGACCCTCTCGAAAAGGTGGTCCGTGACTATCCGAGTGACGCTGGGGCTATATGGTGTGGCAAGCTCAGTATTCAGCACAAACTGTTGCGCGGACATAGTCGGTGCTGGCTTCGTACTGCAAGAGAACAACACGTCAAGAAGCACAGTCCAAGTTAAATCACATGAAACTATGAACGGAATAGAAACATGCACAATGAATTCTAAAATGCTCGGTGCTCTTCCTAGACCTCAGTCACCTGTTGGAAGCTTGCAATGGTAACCATTCGAGATTTCTAGCAATGCATGGCTTAGAGGATCACAGACAGTGCAAGTACAGTAAAGGGCTAAAAGGCGTATTTGCCGGACCCTGTACGAAGCGAAATCCACGGACAATTTTTCATGCACCAAAGTGCTGTGGATCGAAAAAGCTCCTGTCATATCAGAACAATTTCCGCTAGTGCAGCTTTATTTTCTCTTTTCAGGCAGTTGACTTCCCTGACTGATCCTCTGAAACAATAATAAGCAAATCCGCTAGTTCACAACCATAATATCATTTGCATAACCTCTGTAGTGCATAGCTAGTTGGCCGACACACTTGCACGTCTATGATGCATCTCCTGCAAATAATTTATATGGCACTATTTCTGTGATGCGTTCCCGCACTCTGCTGCCCGGGCGGCGTTGCATTGTCTTGCACCTAACCATGACTCGGCATTCAATCTTTTCACACACACACACACACACGCACACACTCACACACACACACACACACACACACACACACACACACACACACACACACACACACACACACACACGCACACACTGTATATATCCCCAAGCACAATACAACCTGTCATTTTCTCTCCTTCTTACTTTCTCCGTGACATTCAGTGGTCAGATACGAGTACACTCATACCTTGCTTATCCGGGCGGTCAGAGACCGGGCACTTCACGTAACTTTTCGCACATACATTTTGACGGAGAAAGGCCATAGATATGGCATATGACGTCACTATTTCCACAAAAAGTGACAAAATAGTAGCAATATTTCCACTGAAACTCGTCCCAAGGGTGCCCGGTACGCGGTAGACCAAAGTGCCCGTAACTTCGGGGTCCGGATAACCGAGATATGAGTGTACTTTACCCAAACTTGTTTAACCCTTTGAAGCCCAAGGACGAGTATACTCGTCCCTAGTGATTTCCCAAGGACGAGTATACTCGTCCAAAACGCGCACTGTGTACGCATTGAGCATAGATCACTGTACAAAGCTTCGTATCTCCGTTGTCCTTTCTTTGATTTTCACAAACGATAGCTTGTTGGAAAGGTAAGGAAAAGACCTTTCCAGCGGTGTGTCACTTGTGGCAGCGCGATGCGAAATACCCGAGCGGCAAAGACCGGAACGCGGTTGAATACTTCTAAACTTTAGAATTTTGAAATTTTCGAGTAGAGCTCGCGTGCGCATGGGGTTTCCCCATGACTCATACCAGTGCAGCCCATGCGCGATGGGTACCAAGATGACCGCTTGAGCTTCAGCAGCACGGAGAACTTTGAATCGTTGTTTTGTGTTGAGTAAAAGTCATGAACCGAAGGAAATTGTCACTGTGGGTGGTGTATCTCGTTCAGGCGCGATAGAGCTGCACTCAAGGGACTTGGAGGCGCTTCTATTGCTTCTGCTTAGTGTCTAGTCTTTATCATTGGGTGGAGGAGATCACAAGCTTTTCAGGGAGCTCCAGATCATGAAATTCCATTGCTGGTGAGTGAATTATGAAATTTTGAAATCGACCATCCGTGGTTGCGTGCTGCGCGGTGCGAGTGCCTGGGAAATCAGAAAACCCAGCTGGGCTTCAAAGGGTTAAAGACCTTATTCAGACAATCAATTTAATCAGGAGTGTCCCTCAATGAATTTGCCCACCTCCACCACATGTGCTCTCTGGCCGACCTCATTCATACCAGCAACATAACTCCAAGTCGTGTTATCAAGGTGTGTCCCGGTTAAAATATGGCGTAAAACTCCAAATTTTGATGTGAGCTGCAGGTCACTCGCGTTGTTTTTCGACGCGCGAGCCAATTAACGCGAGCTGAACTTTCGCGTCACGTCAGAAATAACGTGCATCTTAACCTCCCTAATGTCTAAAAAGTCTTTCGATCAGAGTTTTTGAATGTCTTAGGCAATCGTCATATTCTTGTAGGAGTTTGTATTCAAATGTGACATTCCTTCGCCAGTGCATGGATAATGGTGTGCGTCCATCCCGGATACGGAAGTGCGTCTCTAATACCAAGAGGCCTATGAATCAATCGCGATAGATTTGGTTTGCCTCTCAGTGCGATGATGATTCCTGATGAGCATCACATGAAAACGACATTAGGATGTCCATTAGAATGTGAGCATGATGTGTGTGTGTGTGTGTGTGTGTGTGTGTGTGTGTGTGTGTATGGTGTAATCCCAGCACAAGTTGCTATGTCTAACATTACGCGATGGGCATGTCTGAGGTCTGAGGTGTGTGTGTCTGTGCACTCTATTCATTTCTGTATTTATAACTTGTCCCCATAATACCATGCACTCTGGCAAAATAACAACGATTGCGTGCAGTGTATGTTGCTAGCATGATCAGTAAGCATTTTTTTAATATATTTACGGAAAAATACTCAATCTGAAAATATCTGGAAGAGAGTACATCAGGTAGAAAAGAGAGATGGGACAGCTGAAACAAAGCGAGCACTCACCTTCCATTCCCGAAATATACGTATCCCATCCCGATTCCAAGACAAAGGGCGATCAAGTAGCTCACAAACCGAGCAAAAGCTGCAGAAGTCATAGTTCACTTGTTGGAACTGGGGCAGACTTGGCAGAAAACGATAAATCCAGGTTCGAAATGGACCATCAGGGGAAACAAAAATGCTTGACACGTAAAGAAACCCACGCAGCTAGCTAGCTACCAGTAGCTGATCACCATTTCAGCATACTGCTTGGAATACTGTGTGCTCAGCGAACGAACAACACGTAAGTTAGCTGCGGAGTGGCTTCGTCTCCTATTATTTTGACTCCTTTGAGTTTGAACAACAAAAAATAAATAAAATTATATTTATACAATGACATTTGACAGGCGCTAGGCGCCGCGCAGAGGATGCATCATGCATGTCATCATTGCATCATTGCATGATTGCATTATTATTATTTATGAAGAGTACAGTATAGTGTATGTTATAGTAACTTGCCGCCAGAGCGGCAAAAGCGAGAGTTGACGCTCCAAAAAAAAAGCAAGAACGGACCACGCTTTTCCGCTCCAAACAGGATTTGACGCTGATACGCCATTGACGCTGATAATCACTGATTTTTTCATCTCGATATCGAGGAGCTAATTGGCCACGGAGAACAACAAAACTCATAAGGATGGTTGCAAGGATTGCACTGAAGGTGTTGGCGATCCCAAGGTGAAGGAATTTGACGTTGTTCGTGGAGATTACCACTTGACGCTCGAAATGAAGTTTGAATTTTCACTCTCCCAACATGTGTAGTGTGATCGCGATTCAAATTCTGGACGCTGTTCTGTTTTCGTCAGGCAACCAAAATTTGCCGCAGTCTGACCAGGCCCTAAGGTTGAGTTGGGTAACTCCGCTCTTCTTCCTCGCTCACCGGAGGAATTTCTCTAGTCTCCTCGCGCAACTGGGGAGCACTCCAATGGAGAGAGAAAGATTTTTATAGGGCGGCTTGGTGTGAGAGGTGGACTGAGACTTGACGGCGCTAACGGCGAATATCAAGACCTTACGGCCACGGAGCTGCGGGACTCTGCGCTGGTCGTCTATCCGTGTGGAGGCAAAGCAAACGCGGGCAACATTCTGCTGAAGCGAGCCGAAGCTGGATTGGTGACTGACGTACCTGCTTACTCCACAACACCGGCGCATAATGATGTGCATGTACAAGACTTCGTGAGTATTCAACTCAAATTCGTGTTCCGTCAGCGTCAGTATCAGCAACTACAGTCATGTAGTACAATTTGTTCCCAAAATAACTTCGGGACAGTCTGTTCATGGTTTTTTTTTGTATTGGACTCGTTCTCTACACTTGCGATAATTTAGCGGCAATTCTAACGTTGTAGCGTTGTTCTCTTGTAATTTAGTGGAACCTGTATTGAGTAACTGAGTTTTATGTTTCGTTACATTGTCGTCAGATCTCGGATTCTCCTGTGTACCGGTTTTGTGGCACAATGATTATAGCCATTATATTTGGTCGTCTCCATTCCTGTGCAATCATGCGTACATGTATGTAGGTTGGTTCTCTTCATGTTATTGTGACCAATTTCATAGATGTTGGTTGCCTTGTTGCTTTCTCTCCCCTCTCCTCTCACCCAAGCCATTCTGCATAAGCGAAGCTGTGGACGCAGCATACTGCTGCTACACTTCAACGCGGGAATGCGTATAATAATAATAATACAGTAGTGTAGATCTACAGTTGCGCTCCGTGAAATCCGGCCTGAAGTGCATAACCAGATAACTGGCGCCCAGTACTGATGCGGCCCTTGACGCCCTCAAATTGCAAAGTTGTACCAGTGCTAGTGTGCGCGTGTGCCGTATGAACTGTGCATGTGCTGTACTCATACGCATGCATGCTTACACCAAAATGTAAAAAACCGCGCCAAACAAAGACAAATGTAACATTCATTTCAGTTCAGCACAAGAAAAGGAAGACGGAGATCGTTTCGAAACAGTTTATTCATACACGTACACAGAACAGCAGGGCTTCAATATTAATTTTTGTGTGGCCACCGTCAGCTTCGATTAGGGCTTCAACACGACGTGACATTGACTCCACGTATGGGGAAACCGTGTCAGGACCCAACGAGTCCCACTCCAGGTGCAGTGCCTGCACCAGCTGGTCAGCATTCTCGCAGCGATGTGGAATTATTCTCTTCTTGAGAAGAGCCCACACATTCTCGATTGGATTCATGTCCGGCGAGCAGGGAGGTTGAAACAGGATGTTGGGTACTCCGCTATCGAGAAGATCCTGCCGTGCTTGAGTGAAGTGAATGAAAGAATTTTTGAACTGTTTTTAGCATGCAACACGTGCACTCCGAACTTTTACACGAGGTGCGTACAGTTGAGTTCATACACACAAACCGCCAGTGATGTAATGGGAGCTGGCTTCGCGGCGCCGGCTTTGCACTTCGGGCCGGATTTCACTGACTGAGCGCAACTGTACATGAAAACCATGACATGGTTTTCATCAGGGAGTAGTACAATATTGTACTACTCCCTGGTTTTCATGTACCGGTACATGTAGATCAGGGAGTCGTAAAATACCGGTATTTTACGACTCCCTGATGTAGATGACTCTCGATATCTCTTCTTGTCATGTTATCATCGATCATGATGACGATGTGTGTACGTGTACGTGTGTGTCCGTGACGTGACGGCGCGCGCGTGATCGTGAGGCTCGATCGAGGACGTCATGACGTCAGGGAGTCGTAAAATACGACTCCCTAGCCTGCTTCGAACGCCTTCAACCGGCTTAACCGTGAAGCCTGCCTACGGAACATCCGTCACCTCTGTCCCTCTATAGCGCCAGCTGTAATCAACACCTACCGCCAACCATCCCGCCTATTCGTTGATGGAGAGTGCTTGCTATCGTGCGAGGGTACCACTCAGGGTGACCCTCTGGCCATGCCCGTATATGCGCTTGGAGTCCTCCCCCTCATCAAGAAAGTTGCAGTGCCTGGTGCGAAACAGGGCTGGTATGCGGACGATGCTGCAGCCGGTGGCAAGCTAACGCCTGTTCGCCAATGGTGGGACAATCTCGTCAGCCAAGGTCCTGGGTATGGCTACCACTGCAATGCCCAGAAGTCACTCCTCCTGGTCAAGCCCTCCAGGTACGCAGCTGCTATCGAGATGTTCGAGGGGACCGGTGTGCAGGTCACGTGTGATGGTTGCCGCCACCTTGGTGCACCTTTGGGCACGGATGAGTTTATAGAACAATTTGTCCAGTCCAAGGTCGCCACCTGGTGTGAGGAAGTTGCGCAGCTCACGACCATCGCTGCATCGCAGCCACAGGCCGCCTACTCCGCCTTCACACAGGGCCTGCAAAACAAGTGGTCCTTCCTCTGCCGGACCTCCTCCATCCCGCCATCCTTGCTTGAACCGCTGGAACACGCAATCAGCGGTCGGCTCATCCCGGCCATCACGGGTCAGGCTCCACCTGGGACAACTGTTCGCTCCCTACTCTCTCTGCCTTGCCGGCTTGGGGGACTGGGTATGGCAGACCCTTGTTCAGTGGCTGAACAGTACACCTCATCCCGAAGGATCACGGCTAGCCTCGTGTCTCGCCTGCTGGAGCAGGAGTCGTCTCTTGGCGACTCTCTGACTCAGCTCCGGACGGTCAAGGCGACGGTTCGGGCCGAGAAGCGGAGCGCGTTCAAGTCTATGGCTGACGCTCTTCGCTCGGATCACCGGGAGCTGGCCCCTGTTCTCGACCTGGCCTCAGAAAAGGGTGCATCCAGCTGGCTGACCTGCCGCCCCCTCAGCCGCCATGGTTTCACACTCAGCAAGGGAGATTTCCGGGATGGCCTGTGCCTCCGGTACGGCTGGACACCTCCTCGGCTCCCAAGCCTCTGCGTGTGCAGTAAGCCGCTGAATGTGAGTCACGCCCTGTCGTGCCCGTTTGGTGGCTTCCCGACGCTGCGACACAACGAGGTGAGGGACATCACCGCCAGAGCTCTGAGGCAGGTCGCTCACAACGTGACAGTGGAACCCCACCTCCAGCCCGTCACCGGAGAGGCCTTCCGCCATCGCACAGCTGTCACGGAGGAGCAAGCTCGGCTGGACGTTGCGGCTAGTGGTGTGTGGGGTGGCCGATTCGAGCGCATCTTTATTGATGTACGGGTGTTCAACCCTTTTGCGTCTTCGAATCGTGCCACCTCCCTCGCTGCTAGCTACAGACGCCATGAACAGGAAAAGCGCCGGAAGTACGAGGAGCGAGTACGTGAAGTTGAGCATGCCTCCTTCGTGCCCGTTGTGCTCTCTGCCTCTGGTGGCTATGGCAAGCATGCCAATGCTCTTTTCACGCGGATCGCCTCTCTCCTGGCTGAGAAGAGTAAGGAGCCATACGGGCAGGTTATCTCCTTGCTGCGCTGCCGCCTTGGGTTTGCCCTGGTGCGTTGTGGTGCTATGTGCCTGCGTGGCTCAAGGAGCATGTTTGCTCCTGCCATGCCTGAGTCCCCTGCTGTGCTAGTGGCGGCGGAGGCACGCATCCAGTGAACCTGCACAGTGCAGTGATCCTACTGAGTGACAGACTCTGTAAATACTGTATATTATGATGATTCGTTTTTATATATGTGTTGATTCTTCACAAAATGTGTTATTTTGCCCGTACAAGAGGCTCAGTTTTCCGTGTGAAAAAAAAAAAAAAAACTCCCTAGCCTGGGTACGCGTACGTACGGGCCCGGGTACGCGTATACGCGATCTACCGGTATACTTTTTTTTTTTTATTGCACTCAGAAAAATAATAAGGCACCCATTTTGATAGTCCAGGGGCCTAGGGGATGGCCCACGCCTGGTAAAAAGAATAAACAGAAAAAGAAAAAAAAAGAAAATAATAAGGCACCCATTTTGATAATCCAGGGGATGGCCCACGCCTGGTAAAAAGAATAAAAATAGAAAAGAATCATGTCATGGATTCATGACAAGTACATGACTAGACCTCTACACTGTAGACAAAAATGTGCATGTCTGACTTTAGTTCAACAGTCCTGCAAGGAAACACGTGCCTCGGCTACCACTACAGACTAGACATAGCCCGATTTTGCTAGCAATTCTGCTGGCAAAATATCGAAGAATTTTGACGCGAGAATTTGCTGGCAAAACGAAGCAAAATATCGGTATGTTTGCTGGAAGTTGGGAGATTGCATTTCGGAGGCTCGGCCTTCGAATGTGACAGTGTGTTAGGCCCAAAATCGCTCCGTTTTCATATAATTCATAGCGCTTTAAAGACAAACACATTCAACCTCATTTCCCGCCAAAACCAACCCTTCCCAGAATCTCTTTGGCCTTTTT